CATACTAATGTGAGGTATGCTCTAGGAACACTTAGAGACAGAAGCACATAAATACTCCGATTTTCTCATTTCAGGAAAAAGTTACACCCCATGTTTTGGGTGCTGTATAAGTAAGGAACTGTCAAAGAAAAACCCTGGACCCAAGTGGAAACGCAAAACCCTGGACCCAAGTGGAAACGCTTAAAGGCTATCCATGCTGAGAGGAACAGATTATTCTTGCTAATCACATAGTTGTACAATCACACACACGGTTCTGCAGATTAAACTGAGAAATTAGACTGATTCTCATTAGACTAAGAAACGCTAAAAAAGATACTGCCACTCACAGTTCAAACTGTGTAAATTGTTTCTCTGAATTGTTGAACTAAATAACAAGAGGACAACTCTTGTTCCTAGCTGTACTCACCTAATTATTAGCTACAGAATCTCGCATGTATTAGCATTTACTGTTTTACTCCTGACAACACTCCATGAGACAAAGATCAGAGAATCAAAAAAAAAAAAAATAGCTCTGGCAGTGTTAGGACATCTAGTCCGTTATCAAGTCCTAAGGCAGGGCATACTAAAATGATGCGTGACACACTAAAAAGATATACAAGTCAGAGGCGTAAAGAGCAAGGTTTTCTCTAACAAGGGAAAACTTCCAATGCATACAGAGGCACTGGAAAAGCAAAACAAAGTGGTCACACAGAAGAAAAAAAGTGGAGATACACTGAGCACAGCCATGCACAAGCAAGAGCAAAGACAAAAGGGAATACAGAGGCCTTGCCTATGTTCTTAGAACATCCAGTTGGAACTCTTAAATATATTCTATTTTGGCAACTCAAAGGCAAAGAAAAATACAAAAAAGGTTGATGCAAAAGAATTCTGAATAGCATAGCAATGTTATAAGCAGCAACTTCACATATTAATAGCCTGAAAAGATTAAGGCATTGGTCTGGGACAGCGATGCTGATCACTGGCCTTCGTCTTATACGTCAGACCACGCAAAATCTGGATTGGCTATCTGTGTTTATATGCAAGACACACTGTTACTAAAGGTTCCTCATTAGGGAAATGAAAGTATAATCTGTGCTTAGGGAAAACTTCCTAACTAATCTTAGAAGGATTGTTGTTTGAAAAATATTAGCCATCACTTTCTTTGTTTTCCCCATTTAATGCAGTAGGGCAAATTTGCAGTGCCATAAGATTGTAAGTAGGTCAGTTTAAAAAAAAAAAAAAGTCATCTTTTATATACAGATCACTTTACTACATTAAGATAAACTAGATTTCACTGGCTGCATTAGGTAGCTTCCTAGGCAAGATTTTGAGACCATGAGAATTTAGGATGTGCTTCCCTAAGTTTCCACATACTCTTGCGGCTAGAAGATTGGTAGCAAGCACATCGACTTCAAATTTTTCCACAAAACAAGCACAGCTGTAGATTAGCTCACCAGTATATGTTTGCTAGCTCACACTTTGACCAATCTCATACACAGTACACAGGGCCAGGTTATTCCATCAACTAATAACATGGATCATTATCCAAAGCACACACAAACTCCAGCAAGATATTTGCAAGTATATTCAAACACCTGCAAGTCTTTTTCAGTCTCTTCTGCCAGAAAGATGCAAGCAGCATCACTTTTTTTTCTAATTCCTACCATTTCTTTGGGTCCCAGCTAGCGTAGAGGGAAGAGAACAGAGAGGACAGCTGTGTAACATCTGGAGAAACCAGAGCACTTCACTGGTTTTATCAAACACAAGGTGCTCCATTGTACCACCAAATTCACTTACAACAAATTATGAAATTTTTGTGAACTAAAAAAAGGGAGGTTGCATTTGTCAGTAGCCAGATTGCAAGAATATCTGTTATTTATAGATGTAAGACTATTCTAAGATTTTGATTAAATTCACTGTCTCTCAGTAATAAATAACATGTTAGTACTTTGTAACTGATTAGAAGCAAAACTAAAACAAGACCTCTCAATCGTTTCCAACTATAAATGGACAGAATCCCTTTGTCTATGTCACTATTGGTTGAAATTCACCACTCTGAAGGAGAGAGAAGACAAAAAAGGATCCCTCTACCTTTGTTAACAGTCTTAGAATAAGTGAGATGTATAAGAAAGACTACCAGGTGGGATTTGGGTCAGCTCAAAACATTGCATAAAGATCCAACATTCCCCAATAAATTTCAGGATGAGTTAGACTTTGTGAGAAGCACCCTCAGTGTCTGAGTTGGAAAGCATGCATCTTCAGCCCAAGCTTATTGTCAACTTCCCAATTCCCATATTCCTAAATTCCTAATGCGCCAAAGACAATAACACAACACAGTTGTCTCTGCTTCTTTAACCATAAATCTGATCAGCAGAAATTTCACGTAAAGATGAAAATGTTCTTGTATGAAGACAATGCTTATATTCTTAGAAAAGATCCTAGTAGCATTTGTTAGATCAAAGCAGGCCAATCATATCTGAATAGAAGTCCAGACCTCCAGGAGAACTGACCAGCAAAATGAAGACAAGCATATGGCTCTTCCTGAAGCAGCTGAAGATGCATTCTTCGTTTCAATACAGGGAATCAGATATAGACTTTGAGGAAGGATGGGTTACATTGCTCTTTCTCAAACAGCTCACATAGGGCTAAGTTAGTATCAAAGCATCTCCTCGGATTGCTTAGGATCAATAGCAGGAAAATAGCCTACGTTTATTCTTGCATAGTTCCATATATATTACTATTTATGAAAATGTCCGGTATCTCCATTTTAACCAAAGTTGTTTCTAGTCATTTGCTCCAGAACAGAGCAAATGACACACTGTCAGGGGCACACAGTGACTTCCTCTAGCTACTGCCTATGAAGCAGCAGGCTACCTTATGCTTTACAAATTTTTTCAGCTTGTCATGTTTCTTGTAATCATTTTCAAAATCAGGTAGGATGCAAAACTTTAGCTCTAGGTTTTCAGTAACTGAGAAGTCTGAATAAGCCTGTTCTTAGTTGTCAGTCCTGTAAAAAACTGCATGAAAAGTTCTGTGAACTTGCACAGAAAAGGAAGAATGTCACAAAAGACCCAGCCCATACAATTTTTTTTTGTTAAGACTTGACCATAGTCACTGGGCACACATTAGCAGTTCCTGTCAGCACATGTGGAAGGTTTCAAAAGACATTCTCTACCTCTGTTGCTGCTGGACTGGTGCCAGCTGACAGCTTTTATGTCCTTGGGAAACGGCTAAAGGAATGCTGGTCTGGACTTGACTATGCTGCAGGAGCTCTTCTAATAAGATCACTTCTGGAGGACTCCCAATATTTAGAAATAGTTGGGTTTTAATGATTGTTAGGGATGATACTGAGCCCCAGAATCTGTGTTAGAATTATTCCATTTTATGAAAGGATATTCATCATTAAAAGACCTCCACTGCTACACGTGACTCAACATCTGAGTTGTTCTTCCTGTGTTACTGTGGCTTTCTGAACAAAGACAGAGATGGAAGTGGTCCAAGTGCATGGCAATTTAGATCAACAGTATGGGCATGGTAACCACAAAGGCAGCTGCAGATACATTTGAGAACTATCAGGTGCTGTAGGAAAGTTCTCGCTCTCTAATATGGCATGTTTCCCAGCAAAAGTGACAAACTACAAATTCTCTGAGTTAAAGCACAGATCTCTTAAATTCTGTGAAAAGTATTTCTGAAGGGAATAGTAAGCTAGGCTCTTCCGTCTGGAAAAAAAATGCACATGGAGATGTGGTAGAAATCTACAAAGTCATCAATGGCAGAGAGAGTACATACGGATCAATGGCCCACTGCCTCCTCCAGTACAAAAACTGGGGACCATAAGAGTAAGACAGGAGGAGTCAGGCTCAAGAAAAGCACATCACTGAATTCTTCATGCAATGGGTAACAGACTGCACAATTATTTCAAGAGCCAAAAGAGGCTACTGAAGAAGTTTGCTTAAGCTCATGGAGACAGTGGACAAGTACTTGGAAGAGAGACCTTGGAAGAGGCTACCAATTAGACAAACTAGAATCTAAAGCGCAGGAAATCTGACCTAGAAATAGAGGATGGTAAGAGGAGTAACCATACACATAGCTTTTCCTCTTTTTAGTCATATTAGGCAACTGCTTATTGCAACCGTAGCAATATATAGGGCTAGATGGGCCCTTGATCTGAACCAGTAAAGCCATACTCACATAGTTAAGGGAAGAGAGAGAGAATTACCTCTTCTCCTTCCATGTGGAAGAGCTACCTTTCCCTCCCTTAAGAAGAGGGAGAGTCCCTTCTGTGACTGGGGATGTTTAGTTCAGTCAAAATGAAACAGATCAGCAGTGGTTTTTGTTTGTTTGTTGTTTTGTTTTGTTTTATTTTTCATGTGTCTCCACTCTGGAATTTTGGACTTGCAATTGTGTTTTATTTCTCTGAGCTAACTAATATACCTTAAAAGCTTATCGACTTTCATCTTAAAAGCTGTTTCATGGGTTTTCATTTCCCCAGTTCCCACTGGAAGCTTTTCAGAACCAGACGGCTGCTACAGTTAGGAACCTTCTAATTGCCATCCTGAAGTTTTAATTATGGCCAGCTTTTACCCATTTGTTCCTGTGCCAACATCATCTGGTTTTGAACTAAGCTGCAAGCCGGCTGACATGCCTATAACAATGGATCAATGGCCTTTAATACAATGAAGAAAAGTAACAAGTCAGTTTTGCAACACAAAATACCTTTCTTTATTTTGCATCCAAGTTACTGCAAATCCTTGATAACAGAGCCTAAGCATATATACATATTTTTTGGCTTCTGCATTAATCTTCTAGTGGTAAGTGGAAATACCAAATAAATAAATAAACAAATAATAGAACCCTCAGAGTAAAAACGTAACACAAAAAATAAGTGCAGTCTTGTAAAAAAAATAGGTCTTTTTTATGTTTATGCTGGTCATTTATACAGTAAGCATAACAACAGAGAGTGAAATTAAACTAAGACAATATGTATAATAAAGCTTAACAAAAAAAAAAACAAAACTTACTTCCCAATGTTTTCAGGTAATGCTTGCAGAGAGATGTCGTTTACTGAAAGACACGTTAGATTCTGCAATTCAGGAAAGCTTTCAGGCAACCTACGGAGATATTAATTCAAATCAAGGAGTTCTTGTGTATGTATTAACATTAAATTACTGCGGTAATACATAGTGGAAAATAGAGTGTGTAGCAGAAAACAAGAGTCTATTTAGCGAACATGTTTTGGGAGGGTAGGCAGGACTAAATTCCAGCATGACCCTGAGAAATTCTAACTATTTAAAAGGATCATAGTAAGGATGAAAAAAAAAAAAAAAAAAAAAACAACACTTAGAGCCTCCAAAATTTCTTCTGTGTCAAAAGTGTGGGTATTATCCCTCTCTCCTGACTCCTGTAATCCTCACCCCCTATTTGCAACTTCAAAAAGCTATACGACTTGAAAACATTTTCAACATAAAAAAAAAAATCTGCTCTGGTTATTGTGCCTACAAATTAAAAAGTAAATAAAAAATATTACTTTTTTACTGGTATTTTCCTATGTCACCTAGATAGTAAAATGATTAAAGAAGTCATTTTTATTCCTGCTTCAGTTACATACATGCTTATGGGATGGCCATTTTTTGTTAGGTACTAGGCTGTTCTTCAACTGCTGTTTTTTGAAGAAAGTCTATCTGCTCTCAAGACAATGTTCCACTGCTGGAGCGCTTCACATTTACAGGTTCACAATACAGCAGCATGCAAACCTTCTCTTCTCATCACAGTTTTGAGATTGGAATTTAACAGTCTGATTATCAATAGCTAATGTCTAGTTTGTCAAAACACCCAACCTACAACAAGACTGTTTTTTATTAATATAAGCCTGACATCAATTGAAAACAGCTGAAAAACAGGCTAACAGCCACTTTTAAACCTGAGTGTTCATTGATGATTAATTTTTGACAGTGAGGCAACATACTATATAGGTGGCAGGACATTGATTGGGAAGACACTGACAGGCTTTCAAGCTTACAGGAAATAAGGACAAGAATCAATGGCTAAAAGAAGTTCCTGGATATAACACAGAAAAGGAAATCATTATTAGAATTTTCCAGTCTGTCTGGATAAATTGGTGCAAATATCCTGTTGTTACATAGGTGTAACTGAAATTCCTGACCTCATCACAGTAAGCACCAGGCAACCATGTAAACAGCTTCTGTTATCTGTGGTTTATAACTAAGTAAACTGTTTGAAGTGACGTATTCCACATACATATGCCTTCAAAGCTTTTTATCACAAATTTTTAAAATTCTCCTACAACTGCCAACAAAGAGTTATGAGGTTTATTTCAATGTCATTAAAAAGTCTTTCAACTCTTTTGTTAATTCTGCTCGGCTGTAGTTATGCCTTACAACTACTATTGAAGGAGATGCAGTACCTGGGCCTCAGGTCTTACCCAGAGCACAAAATGGAGAACGATAATGAACAAACTACTATGGAAAATTTTTGTTCCAGTACTATGAGGTGTAGCTCCGTGCTTTATGTACTGCACACTAAGCTCTGGGAAAAGGCTGTTTTATGACGTTCATCACTTTAGCATCTAAACATTAGTTCAGCTTCAGTTTGCTTTACCAGATTTCTGTGGTATTATTATCCTCACTATATAAATGGGCTACTGAGACACAGGGATCGAGGTCACAAGTGTCCCTTTAATGCTGACAGATTTGACTTTTCAGAGAACTTAGAATGCACTATGTACTATATTCAAGCACAGTTCTAAAGAATTTGAGCTGCATATGTGGGAGAAGCTGTCTTGCAAAACCGCTGCAGCAGCTTCAGTTATTACAGACACTCAGCTGTTTGTTACTACTCATTCACTCCAGCCAGTCAGCTAATCGTGCAAGTGTTCCTAGCCTATCTCAGTGCAGAGCAAAGCAGGTCGGTTAGGGCCCACTGTGAATACTTTGGCTGATGCGACTTGCTCAGCGCCACAAAGGAGCTCTGTGGTACAGGCTGGCTTAAGAGACAGTTCTCCAAATAGTATTCAAAGGCCTTAACTAGCAGATCACCCCTTCTCTTACCATCTCCAGTCTCGTTTCACTGTATGAATTCCAAATTCTTCAGCAAACGGCGCAGAGAAATGCAAACAGAACTCCTCTTTTATAATGCATGTTTATTTAATCTCTAAACCACAGTTCATCAGAACATAGACTGGGAGCAGAAGTAGCAGCCACTGACACATGCAGTCCATTTTTGCTACATGTTACTGCACATAAAGTCTATTTCAAATTACCAGGCACCTGGGTTTGTCCCAATGCACTCATGCTAGCCATTGCTTTCTCTCTCCCAAGTAGCGGCATTGTTTTCCAATGCATTTAAGGGGAATGAAAATGACTTAAGAGACAATCAGATTTACTTTTTTATCCTGCGTAGCCAACAAATTTCATCCCCTCCCTGTAATGATTTACATCACTTTTTAAATCTGAACTAATGCTACAGTGCCTTTCCAGAGACAGACACTTTTGGCAATATTTCAGAGAGATCCCAGATCACAATTTTTTAAGGGCTTATTTAAAATTGTAATTGTTGCAGTAAGATTGTAATTCTGGTATAGCAAGTACTAGGAAGGCAGAAGTTACCTAGTCAGTGGATTCCCACTGAAATCTGCTACCTGTAGTGCTTTGCAGAATGAGATGCTTTCTGGTATTTCAGGAATATCTGCAGAAAAAGAAAAAAGAAATCATCAATAGCTGTATACTGCATCTACACTGAAATTATTGCCTCATTACACTCAGCAACTTGCTACTGCAAGGAGTTACCTTTCAACATGCAAGACTGCTTCATGTCCAAGTACTCTTACTTTAAATGAGAGCAAGAACAGTTCCTGGGGCAGAACCATTTTGTGCCTTTCCACATCCCATTTCCTTCTCCTGTTCTGCACCCCTTCTTCCCGATCCTAGACTACTCACCTGTCCTTCGATTAATGCTATCGGTCTCTGTTTAGCAAAAAAACACATTCAGCTATGTTCTAAAATTGTCCTAAAGAATCAAATGAAAATCTGAACCTCCTGTAATTTGATCAGTGTTAATGTTCATAATCCATGCTGGCAGGAAGTACACAGGGAGGGAAAAAAAGGAAAGGAAGAAGAGAATGTGTAAGTCTCTCTACTCTTAATATACACTCATGAGAACAGAGCCATTCTCCTTCACGCAAAAGCCAGGTGACTTGAATAATATTTTCAAGTCAACAGGTCCCATATAAGTGCTAGTACAGCACTTCAGATTTCAAGAAGGTAATCAGTGATATTTGTACACAGAAACAGATTTTTTCTAGTATCTTCTATATTGCACATATTTAGCCACTGAAGTTAGGCATGCTATCTTAAAAATAAAAATGTTTCCTGGACTTGTTTCTTCAAGTTTTATTTCCACGAGTAGCCTATGGGTCCTTTGCATACTTTGCAGGGGTCCTTGCTTATTATTCTCAAGATCCAGTAAGAATAAAGCAAGTATATTTGGCTTCCTTGTTTAACGATTTAAGATTTTTACGATTCATTTTGAAAGGAATTCAAAAGGAAAAAGGCAAATCTTAAAATTAAAAGTACATCTGTCTTCCCAAGTTTCTCCTACTCTCATTTTTTCTACAGAGTACTAAATCCACTCCACCTCCCCTTCATACAGTTCAGAAAATGTCTTTATAGAGCTTCCTCATGTAAATGGCACTTCAGAAGCCATCAGGGATCTACATACGCTGAAACAGTATTTGAAACTCAGGTGTCTTCCTACCTACTTCGGCAAAATTTAGAAATCGTATTTGAAATTGTATTTCTAGAAATTGTATTTCTAAATATTTCTTTTAGCTCTTCTGCCTATTACTAGTGTGATGGAGCACAGCACTGGAGGAGATACCTGCTCATCACGTTCCATTTCCTGCAATTGCAGGCTGCCTGCTAATCTCAGCACGTTCATTTATTCTGAACAATTCCCACCTCAGAACTGAATCCGCACCCAATAAGATCAACTTCCAAATGAGCCGGTCACCAGGTGTAAATAATCAACATGAGGATGATACAAGAGCATCTCCTGGAAGCGATCTACTGCTCCCTAAGCAATTGGGAAGGGCTGGAGGGAACAAGGGAGATAAGCACACAGCAAATGGGTTTCTCTGCATCCCAGGCTGTGCACACTGCAATGTAAGAGTCATCTCCTTCTCTCACAAGGGAAAAAACAAGCAAATCACTATTGCATCACAAGCCCTAGTGCTCCCGTTATACTCATCAGGGGAAAATTTGAAAGTAGCCAGGGCACAAAAGCAAATAACAAAAGCAAATAGCCCTACTAATCCCAGTGCACAGTGAACATTAAGAAGGTAGATCCACCATGCAAGTTATCAAATACAAAAACATTTAAGAACAACAGGTTTAAATACCTGCAATGCAAACACATATTCAAAAAAAAATAAAAAAGTCACAAAGCAGCACTCTCACAATGCCAAACTGCCAGGACAAAGTATCTTAGCCTTAAGTTTACGTGAAGTGGTGTGCATAGTACAAATATGCAAATATATCGGTTCACTAAAAGGGGCAGGGAGGGAAGCTTTGGATAAATCCCTTTTAAAACTAGACAAAACCTAAGCTCTGTTGGTCTGTTAACAGCACTACTTGTGCCATAAAACAAAATAGGTCTTGTAATTGAGAAAACATATTTTCATCATTTTCTTTAGGCACAGGTTAAAGGAGTATTTTAGAGCTTAAGTTGTGTCAGAGACATTTTAAAGTCCCTAGCCACATCACTCCTTCATAGTAACTTTGCTAGTTTGAGGGAAAACCATAAATCTTACCTAAAAAAATTCAGTAACAAGATAAATTCAGAGTGAAACACAGAGTGACAGCTTTGAGGTTAAAAGGGACAGGTAAGACCTGCATTAATCAGGCATTTAACACTGCCTGATTAAATGATGAGCTTAGAAGTGATAAACTCTCATAACACACCTGAAGTGCTAAAAAGCATTTATCTGTCACTAACAAGGGATGTAGCTCTGTCCTACAAAACAAATGGCAATTAAACTTTTTTTTGCCACCCTCCACATTCACATAAAAGCATTCACTTTTAAAAGGGTGCGCTAAGGAATACAGACACTACACAGAACCGGAAACCTTCCCCTTCCCTAAGTAGAAGTATACATGAAATCAAAACAGAATCACAATCACATTTAAAGACAGCAATGGCAGTGTTTTTACCCATTCCAGAGTGCTGGCCGTAGAAGGCTGAATTTATACTACGGGATTGTTGAGGACAGAAGTCCTACATACACTCAATACATGTTGGAATTTCTACCATGCTTTATAGCAATGAGAAACACTTCATTACTGAGCTTTGCTAATCAGCAACAAGTAAAAAAGCAGGTCATCCTCTGGCTTTTATTCATACCCTATTTCTCTGGATAACTACTTGGAAAACGAACAGAAAGGCAGTAAGTCAGCTTCCCCCACTTATTAAACCTCTCTCTCAACACATCAAAATTACACTTCACTTAACATTAGCTTTAACTAGTTCAAGGTAAGTCTTCGTTTTGAACTATAGCACGGAGTCCCTTATAATATTTGTCACTGTCTTACCTGTCCTGAAAGGGACATCACTACCTTAAAACTTTTTCTGAGGACTCAAAACAACTCATTTCCTTGGAAATGAGCCAGCGTTCACAACTTCTATATACCTATATACATACACAGACACACTCTTTTTATATACAAATATACACACTGTTTCCATGTGCGTGTGTAAATCATCGCTCTCCTCCACCAAAAAAAAAAGAAGAATGAATACCTTGACTTTTTTGAAAAAAGAATATAAACGGAATATACAAAGTAGGAGACAAACTTTGACTCCTCAAGGACAGCACAAAGTTTCTGAAATTAATCATGCTATTAATTTTCTCTATCCATCTGTGGTTTCACTACTGCTCTGCAAATAAAGTCTACTTGTGTATGATGGACTGCAAAAATACAGAAAATAGATCATCTCAGGTGAAAATATTTTGATATGCTCTTTCAGTTACAAGCCTTGCGTGCTACCTGTAAAAGCCAACAGGTAGGTTTCTAAACTAAACAAAAATTACTCCAATATATGATATTACTTACTGTAAAACACTTTTTATAATTTTGATGCATTTCCACATTACAAAATCTGTTTTGCATGTAAAACATGCCCTCCCAGCCTATTTATTCCAGGCTATGAAATCACTATATGAGCAAAAATCCTCAAAACGAAATGAGAGCAGATACAAGCCAAGGAAGGGAAATTCCATTTCTGTGTTAAGCCTTTTCTTCGTACATAGAGTGCATTTTCCTCCTCCCATTAATACTTTCACCATTCACTTTTCTACTCCACCTAGCTAGACAAAGGACAGACAGAAGTTCAGTGTAACTCTCCAAAATAAGGATATTTATCCTTTTAGTAAGTTAAAGCATAGTTGCAAGGCATCTTGAAAAGATTTCTCAGATAAAATACAACTAAGAGCAGATACTTCAGCATTATATGTGAAATCTACTGAAATATTGTTTTGAATAAATGAACTCGGAATAGGAAAAGCAAGGAGCATTTAAGCGTTTAACAAAAATCCTGGAGTAATTATTATAGTAGAGGAGATTATGTCAATGCTTCTATTACGAACCATTATCAGCTGAAATGCAACATGTCCAGAAGGATATTAAAACACATAAAAAAGTCCTTCTGTCCTTTAATGGACTACACAGCTTTTGCCATTACTATTTGCTACTAGATTTTATTACAGACATTAACACATACATCTCTGCCAATATTAGCAGCAGTAAGGTACAATACTTTTCTCGCCACAGCTGGAAAATCAACTCAAATCCTACTTAAATATTCGGGATTCTTCTAATACTATGCACTGATGAATGCTCTGCATTTACATGATGCCCCAGATGTCCTGGCACACAGACTGTGCAGCATTGCTCATAATAAAGCTATAAACCAAGCATAAGCCCTATGACGTATGACAATATAAATATACTGGCAGAAAAAAGAAGTTATGCCAGCAGAAGTGGATAAAAAAAAAATCAAGCTTGGTAGTCATATGTATAAGACGGTATATGCTTTTTTCCACGCAAGATGCCTCTTCAGATGTTTATTCTAGTTTGCACAAGAATTTTTGATCAGACCTAGAAAAAAAGCCACAAATAAGTGATTTAGGTAATAAGTTTGACCCTAGGAAATTCTGTACTGTCTGAACAAAAAAAAAAAAAAAAAGAAACCACACCCTTTTGTTTAGTGCTTATCCAGTTTTGTTAAAGATTTTACAACAGTAAAATCCCCTCTTTCCATCTTCTGATGGGTGGGAGGGAGATGGAAAAAATAACCTTCATTTTAAACACAATATAACCTTTTATATAGCACATTTTGCCGCATTTTATATCAAATTTCAAGAACCGGTAATATTATTTTGCTTACCCAAAAACTACATTGTCAGCATCCTTTAACCGTTCTGAATAGCCAACAAAATTTCCAATATCTAGTCGATATCAAGATAACAACAGCTGGACTACAACAGGACTAATACACTAGAGCTACTGTGGACTGTAGCTCAAACTCAGAAGCGTTTTTGAAAAAACCTTGCTAAAGTTTCAAACATGAGAGATTTGCCATATTCCTGAGGGTGAGCTTACGGTGTTAAAGAGTCTTTCAGGGAGCGACTG